AGCACTTTCCTGACTTCTTCCTTATTTTTCTCAACTCCATTGTAAAGTGTTTTGAAACATTTTATAATCATTTTTCTGAATTCCTTCTCAGGCATTTCTAAGGCCTGTCCATCTTCCAGAATGGAGTCCAGGTCTACCTCTAGGTCATTTGTCTCAGATATTTTATCTTGTTTCTGGACATGTGCTGATATGGTCATTTGCTTTTGCTTCTTGAACATGTTTAGTGTTTATCTGTGGCCTTAATACTTAGTTGAGTATGTGGTTTGGTATTTTTTATGCTTTCTGATTGCTTCCAAGAAGATGTGATCAGGATGTGGGCTTCCCTTTTCACTCTTCTTATTGCTTAATTCAGAGTAACTTTTCACAGGTGTTGTCTGTTTCCCTGGTATATGGCAGTTGGTATTGGTTCTTGCCTGGGTTTTGGTGTATTATAGAGTGTGATTGTAGGTTGGCTATATGGCAGCAGTTGCTGACTCTTCTTGTGTAATTATATGGAGAGAAAGAGTCCTCCAAATGCAGAAGGGCCAGTATATAACAGCAAAACAGTATCAGCGAAAAAAAAACAAGAGAAAAAAAACACAAACAAACCCAAAAACAGCAACCACAAAAACTAGACTGAATACTGCAGTCTATAAACACAGAAAAGGGAGAGGAGGGAGAGAAGGATAAAAACAAAATGTGTAGCTTAATGTGAATATGACTTTAATGTCCTCTCTTCAGCTTCTTGCTTTCAAAGCTGCCTGAGACATTTCAAGATGCCAGTGTTGGTTGTTATGCTATACCTCAGACTTTAATTTAATTTTTGGCAGTTTTGTTTGTAAACTCGCTTTACCTCTCTACAGCCCTGTCCTGCCCTTTCCAGTATTTAAAAACAAATAAACAAACAAAAAACATTCAGGGCCTGATGTTGGGCTGTGTATCTGTGCACATGCGTGGCAGAAGAACCCACCAGTGGTGAGGGTGGTGGGTGTCCACTCGCTCAGACTCCCTCTCTAGTCACCAGAATGGAGGTGGGCAAACAGTGGGCTTGCCAATGACCAGATAACAAAAAAAAAAACGAAAGAAAGAGAATCAGAACAAAGCAAAACTGACAAAGTGTATTGTCCACCTTTTCTCCAAGGTTCCTGATCGTTTTTCCTTGGTGTTTCTGCTCCCCCCGCTTGGTCTTGCCATTTGCTCTGGCCCAAGATGTCGGCTCTGGGCCTCCGAGCCCAGCCCGGCAGATTCAAAAGTCCAAGATTTTTTACTTCAGTTTCAAGTTCCATAATCTATAAGCCTTCAAACTTTAAAAACAATCCTATCTCTGTGGTTTCTGAGTTTTGGAGATCTGCCCTAGATCTGCTTTGCCTGGTATTCTGTGGTATGGCTAACTGTGAACTTCACTGCACCTCCACCCTAGCCGCCATCAAGCTCTGCCTTCAGGTAGTGTTTTTTTAACTGGATTTTTTCGAAGAGTTTGTGTAACTTGAGTATTCTTCCTTTTTTAAAGGTTTGATAGAATTCACTAGTGAAGCTATCTAGATAGGCTCGAATTTTTTCAATGTGTAACTTTGTTACAAATTCAGTTTCTTTACTTGATTCAGAATTTCTATTTCTTTTTGAAATAGTTTTGGTAGGAGTTTTTCCATTTCACAAATGTTTCCAAGTTTGTTGATAACATTCCTGTAGAGAGCTGTTCATTTCTGTAGGCTATGTGGTGATGATTCCTTTCACAATCAAGAGTTTGGTAATTTGCATATTAACTTTTTCCCTTGATTAGTCTATCCAAAGGTTTTTGTTATTGTCTTCTTTTTGTTGATCTTTGTCCAAGCAACTTCTGGTTTCAGTGATTTTCTCAATTTCCCTGTTATTTCTGACTTCTATTTCCCTTCTTTTGCATACTTTGAGTTTAACTTTCCCGCTCTTAAGATGAAAATTTAGATGAATTACGTGAGCCTTTGTTTTCTTAACGAGTATGTTAAAAGCTATAAATTTCTATGTGCTGCTTTGATGCATCCCCTATTTTTTCATTTACTCTCAAATCAATATGGTTCCTAATTTGTTGTAATTTATATTTTGACTTATACGTTATTTAGAAATGTGGTTTAATTTGTAAATAATTTGGGTTATCCTAGATTTCTTTCTGTTGCTGATTTCTAATTTAATTGTACACAGAGAACATACTTTGGATGATTTAAATCTTTTTGCAATTATTGTTTCTGCTACAGAATATGATCTTGGCACTATTTCACATGCATTGGCAAAGAATATTTGTTCTGCTGTTTTGGGGTAGAAAGATCTGTAAATTTGAATTAGTTCAAGGTAGTTCATAGTGTTGTCCAAGCCTTATATTCTTACTGATGCTTGCTTTATATATTCTATCAATTACTAGGAGATGGACGCTGACATCACTGACTGTAATGGTTGTTATTAGTGTTTATGAAGTCAACTCCAAATCATAGTGATAACAGAATCAAACACTGTCCCATTCTGCGCATCCTCAGTTGCTGTTTGAGCTCATTGGTGCAGTCACTATGTCAATCCCTTTCTTTTGAGGACTCTCCAGTTTACCAAGCATGATGTCCTTCTCAGGAGCTGGTTCCCCCTGATGACATGTCCAAAACACGAGAGATAAATTCTCACTACCCCCACTTCTAAAAGGTATTCTGATTGTACTTCTTCCAATACAGATTTGTTCTTCTGGTAGCCCATGACTCCTTGACAATTGTTGAGTGCTGTTGAGTCGATTCTGATTCATAGCGACCCTGCATAGGGTTTCTAAGGAGTGACTGGTGGGTTTGAACTGGCAACGTTACAGTTAGCAGTCCAGTGCTTATCCTACAGTACCACACACCAGGACTCCTAATAGACAATTGTTGTTATGTGCCATGGAGTCACTTCCAACTCATAGCGACCCTGTATAGGGTTTCCGAGGCTGTAAATGTTTATGGGAGCAGAAAGCCTCGTCTTTCTCCCGTGGAACAGCTGGTAGTTTGTAACTGCTGACCTTGCAGTTCGCAGCCTGATTCGTAACCACCACGCTACCTAATAGACAATAGTCTACTTTATTTTCTACTTTAAATCCAGTAGTGACAATTTTCTAACACTTCAAACACAATAATTCCTGGTCTTCGTTTTTCGTCTCTTACATGTACGGGACTTACAAGAAGGAAAAGGACATGAGTGCACATGCTCCCCCCGGCCTCCCGTACCTCCAAGTGGCTGCTTGAGTAGCCAATGAACTGAGAAAAAGTCCTGAAATACAATTTATTTTTTCTGTTTAGACATAAACACACGTAGACACCTTCCTTTTAATGTTTAGACCTCAAGCCCATTAACTAAAACACACTGCCGTAGAATATTCCATTACCAGGCAGTTATTTAAAGCTATATAGTAAAGACTAAGGTTGAAGGAGTTATTTTTCTCCAAGTAGAAAGCAGTTTCTGTACTCCATAAATTAGCTATCATAAAGTGAGGTTAAGTTTTCTCAATTTTCCTAACAGAATATAGCATGATTGGTCAAATTTGATTCTTGGAGTCTCTGTATTCATTAGGCTATTATCTTCTTATGATGTTAATCTATAATGAATATTTCTGTTAAAAAACAGAGATTTTAGCTCTTTTTCTTACATTTTCTGTAATCAGAATATATTCATATATTTTTGGGGAACACAAAGAGAAAAGATCCTGTTTAGAGTTCTAAGTCAAGTTATTCTTTTTGAGGAGTCTCTGATACCTCAGCATTAACTGGTCAGCACTTACTATACCATGTTTGGGAAGGTGGAGGGTTAGAGAAGGAGAGGAAGACCCCCAGCGAGATGGATTAGCAAAGTGGCCTCATCAATGGACTCAAGGGTGGCAACAATTGTGAGGTTGGCCCTTGAACAGGCAGTGTTTCGTTCTGTTCTGTATAGGGTCACTGAGTTGGTACCGACTCAGCAGTACTTATCAGCAACTTAATATTTATGGGTAATATTCTTTTGATAATTGCAGTTGTTAGGTGCCGAGTTGGTTCTGACTCATAGTAAGGCTGCATAGGGTTTTCGAAAATCAGCTAGTGAGTTTCAACCACTGGACTTGAGGTCCAAACTGCCCTTGCAGTCCAGTACTTACCCCACAATGCCATATCAGGAACACTAAAATATATAACTGATTAACGAAACTCGGTACTTTAACCACAGTACTTGCATTATTATTTTTTTTTAAATCATGATTTGTCACTTTCTTTGCTTGCTTTCTACATCTATTATGAATATTTTTTAAAAGCATGGTTTGGGTTTACAATTTTCATTCAACAATTTTTTACACATTTTGGTTCTTGACGTTAGTTGCAATTCTCTCCAAGTAACAACATTCTTCCCACTTTCTCTGGGCTCCAGCTGTCCATGAATCTTTCTTTCCTGTCTCCTCCTCCCCCTATCTTCTGAGCTTTGTTTTGGGACAAATGCTGTCCTTTTGCTCTGCCTTACATCTTATTTCTAAAAAGAATGTAGGCCTATATAAGACAATTTTACATTCTTTAATCTTTATTTTACATTCTATTTTACTCACTTAATTACAAACTTACATGGGACAAGTCTTGATAATAACTTACCTTTACCTCCATCCTTATTACATTTGAATTAAATTATACAGAATATTTTTCATTAAATTTACCAGATGTACTAACAGTATGATTTATTTTTAGTTATGTAATAAAAACAAAACAAAAAACACTTGGGTTTTTTTCAAATAACCCTGAAATTAATGAAAATGATCAATTAAGAGATTTCTAGGTTTTGTTTTTTTATATAAAAAATCAGTATTTAGAATTTCACAGTAAAGAGGTCCTAAATTCCTCATACAACATGAAATTATATAAAAATAGAAGACATAGACATCTTTAAATCTTTAATCCTTTGATTAAGCAGCAAGCATATCACTCTTCCAGGCCAAACACTGCTGAAACAAACAAAAAAAAATGACGTGCAAAATATTTACAAAATATGCAAAGCACACAATAAAGACATCTCACTATATACATGTATCATATTACTAATGAAGCTAAGATTTTTCTGTGTGCTCTATTGTACGTAAATCAAATTACAGCGATTCCCTCAGATACAGCACCTGGGCCCATGTCTGGGATAGAACATATTTTAAATGAAATCACAATATACTGGACAGCTGGACAGATGTTAGGGCTGACCAACTTGACTGACATATGCCACATGCTGTATACTGAAGGTCTACTGACAAGAGACAAGACAATAAAAGCAGAGATAAAGGTAAAGGTATAATATGCACATATGCAAGATTTAACTACTTAAAAAAATGCTTTAGATATTTTCTTTTAAGATCAATCACTGCCCCCACTCCATGGCTTTTGAAGTAAAACTTCTTGAATACTCAGAATTTTTAATCAGTTAGATTTTATCTGGTTACAGTCCAAGAGCAGGAACTATTGGAGATGATCCAATGATAAAGAAGGGACCCATTCTGGAGAATGATTTTTACATTATGACAGAACTTAATGTCCTGATGCAAAAAACTGGTCTAAATTTCAGAAGAAAAACTAATTCAGGAATTCATTTTCTCTCTCTTTAGAGACGATGGCAGGGATTATTTTTTTCGAATGTTTTGGGGAAAATACAACTTCTCAAAGCAAAGTCCTTAGATGCTGAACCTGTTGTGAAGTAGTTCTACATGTAATGAGCATGTGAACATGCTAACACATCTAGCCTTATGTTCCGTTAGTATAGCCACCTAAGGGATCTATCCCCTTGTACAAGTCATGACTCCAATATTCAATTGTTGGATAAGAAGTATTGGTAATACACTGCTGAAATACTGTCACATGTAACATATTCTTCATAGGTGCTTAATGATTATGTGTTGAATTGAGAAGGCTTGAAATACTTTGTTTTTATAAAAAGGGATCTCTTAGCATTTTAGTTAACAGCACAGTTGTGACAATATACTGATACATTTTAAACACAGAACAAATTCTTAATTTTATTTTATGAAATAATGTTGATGAGTTAACCTTTTAAACCAAACTCACGAGTACAGGTCGGCTGCAAGGAATACACAAATGCATCCAAACAGTACAACAGAGATTCATCAAGAAAACATCTTTTACATCAAGCGCAGACCATATTAATTAGTATGAAGGTGATATTAAGTTCAGAAAAACCAAAACATAAAAAGGGTATTGCAAATAAATGCTTTCATAGTCACCATGTCCACATAAATGACAAAATATAATTCTCTTCTAAAGTTCCCAAGTGTAGGCAACTACTAGTTAAAAAAGCACATATCATTTAAAAACATCAAAACAAAAAACGAATTTAACTCCATTTCCAAGGAATTTAAATGAAAGACATTCATTGTACTTGAACAAATTAAGTTCTCATCTGTATGTAAAATTATTATTCCAATCCTCTGATTACTGATAGATGACAGGCTAATGGCCTTTAAATAAGGACTCTGCACTAGACCCTTAATTGTATGTTAAAGGGTTAGAAGGTTCAGTACATTCTTTGTGATTTCATATAATTGCTTTGCAATTGATTAAATTGCTTTTTTTTTTTAAAAAGGAATTTACTAAAATCCCTTTGGAAAAAAAAGCAACATCTTTTGAAAAAAGGGATATGCAGCTATATAATTTCTTAAATATGCATTAAATCAACACATCAATATCTGAAATGCAGGCTACTTAGTCTTGCACTCCTAACATAGGAAAATGTTTATTTAAAAAAAAAAAAAAATTAAGTTAAAGAAAAAAAAAGTCAAACATCCTTAAGTTAAGAAACTTAAGGAGTTTTCACAATCCTAAATCAATATTCCTGTACTAAGAGCCCAGACTATGAAGAGGCTGGAATATGAAGAACTTCAATAAAATAAATATAGTAAAAACAAAACAACAACAACAAAACCTTGAATAGAATACTTAATCATTTTTTCCCCATTTATGAGATCACATCGTTGAGCATATATATATACTCTAGAAAGGAGGCTACCTGGAGGCTTTTTGTTGTATAACATTTTAGTTTAGTGAATGGAAACATTCTTAGACGTCCACTTATGCTATTCCACGTCCATAGAACGAGTTCGCAGCCTCAGTAGCTAGGAAGGATTATTCTTTTCTCCTTAACATCAGTCCAATGAGAACTGGCGTAATAATGACAGGTGAAGAGTTACTGCAGCTCTGTCCAGTTCAGCTTTAGTGCAGTGAGGACTGTGAATCTGTCTGAATTCCAATAAGCGATGGTGGCTGTTGACCACCAACTGTGGACAACACTGGTCTTGGGTTTAGACGGGGTGGCATAGAATTAGCAGGGCGGATGAGAGGTGGTGGAGGCTGATTTAACGTTGGCCGGGGCTGAATGAACCGAGCCTGTTGCTGGAGTGGAGGAGGCTGCCGGTGAAGGGCAGGGGCAGCAGGCAGTGTTGGACGAAGAAGTGGTGGAGGCTGGTTCAGAGTGGCAATGGGGGCAGTTGGTGTTGGAGTGGATGATGGGGCAGGAGGTGATGGACCCAAAGTCCGAGGAGCCTGTGGGGTATGTGCCTAGAGGTGAGAAAACAAAAATACACTTATGAGACGAGGGTTCTTAATGAACTCAATACAATATAGTTTGGGCTGTCACAGGAAAATCAAACAAAACCAAAACATAACACAGTGTTTATTGGAAGTACAAGCTTCTTTTATTTTAAACAAAACAAAACAAAACAAAACAAAAAAACAACAAAAACTGAAGGGGAGGGAAAAAAAAAAAAAAAGCAATGAAGCTACCAAACAGGCATCTTATTAGTAAACAGCTTAATATTGGAAATAGAAAAATAAGACTATGAAAGAACAATACACTCTCCATTCTTCCAGGATCAGAACTTAACATGTCATTATGACTTAAGAGTGACAAGAAATGCACCACTGAGGTAAGTGTATTGTCAACCTTTCACGCTCATTTAGCTAGTCCTCTGGTGGATTAACCTTACAGAACACCACACAAAATGGTGATTCCTCATCTCATATTAACTCAAATCCATACACAAACACACCTCCTCTTCTTCATCAGTGCTCTTCCCTGATGGCACATTAGAAGCACTTTTTGTCTCCTCCCCTAAAGTAGAAGCATCACCATTAGAAGCCTGGGTTCCTTGTTCTGCTTCCCACTCCTGCAATACCTCCTCTAAGTTAAACCGACGCCTGTAGTTTACAAAGAAGTTCTTCACTTGGCCAACAGTCTTGTTGCCAATTACATCTGCAATAGCTTGAAAATCTTTACCATATTTTCGGACACCTGGAAGGCAAAGTAAATAATACACCTGTGAAGGGTCAATAAGGAGAGCTGTGTGTACTATACATCATGCACACACAAAAGATACCAGCAATGAATATCCTTTTTGATCAACTCTGCTCATTTCTCAACTCTGAGATAGAGGCTGTGACAGCCGGGTCAAGAGATGAAAACTATCAATTATCATTTATTTCATCGAGACAGTCACTTGCCGTCAACTAAACAATCAGAAACTTACCAGTTTTTACATACTCAGTAATTTTCTCCAATCCTTTCTTGAACTCTCAAATACAGTCCATTATTGTAAAGCATTGAATTCTTTGTTCCATCCTCAATTCCACATTCATTTATTTCCCTAGTAGCCAGTCACCTAAATTTGAGCAACACCGTTTGTAAACAACACTGGATGGGAATGCACTGTTTCTTTTATCCCCTCAATGGACTGAGTGAGCAGCCTCAGGGTTCCCCATTAAGGAAGGCAATTTAGTTTCGGTTTTGGTGCTAACTTCAACATGATTACTTGCCTATTCCATCAGGTTACCAGGAATAGAAAAGAGGTAATGATTGAGACATCATAAGCAAGAGAATCGTCACAATCGGAGGGACAAAAAACACTAGAAAACATTCAGAGTTGGATTTGAATTTTTCTAACAGTTCTAAAGACTATATATACTAAGGATTCTTAGCTGTGATTTTCAGCCTGAAGAATAAGATTATGGTAATGGCTACTTGCAGAGCACTTGTTCTGCTCATTATTATTACCTTAAACTTCAAAGGGCTGTACAGTGTGAAAACCTACTTTGTCACTAAGGACGTTTTATTATGATGAAGAAGAATACTTGATTTACGAACTTTAGATTACCAATTATTTCACAGAATTTAAAATGATTTATATAATCAGATAATAATTTGTTCTTAGAAAATTCTAAGATGTTTACTCATTCATTTTAGAAAAAGATGCACTTTGCTCAAAATAGAAAGCTGTCAGAAACTTTGTTTTATAATCTGATAACTACTTTTTGAAGTATCATACTCAGTACCTCATTAATGACAGAATAGAGAGAGAAAAAACACTGATGCTTATGTATTAAAGTCTGTAATTCAATCTAAGCCGAAAGAAACGGGTTTCGTTTGTATATACATACAAATGTTTCTACATATGAAGGGATAATATGTTAATATTCCAGCAGAAATGCTAGATATATTCTCAAATGATAACAAATGGTACAAAATATCTATTACCTTAAAGCCCCAACACATCGTGACCTAATTCCCATTTTTAAATTCTGTCCTTATATTGAAAAACAGGAATAAGTATCACTGGCTATATTCTACAAGCTGGGCTTGAGTCTTTGGAGAAGGTTCTGGATCTTCGAGAATTTTGGTTGGCAGGTCTGACACTAATATCCTATTCTATTACCATATCCCATTGCTAATGTAGCTTGGGGTTGATAAACTATGGTCACTGGCTCTGTTCTCAAAGGGGTCTATAGATGCATATACATGATAACAAAGCAATAATCATGCTGAGGCTTAAGTTTACAACGTTTATCAACATAGATGAATTTTATTTTCTTAAAATATATTTGAATGTCACAGTTAAGTCTGCATTATAATGGCGATGAGGTTCAATGGAGGGCTTATTTGGAAATAAAAACCTGGGTTTATTTCACAGTTGAAGTCATTGTTACATACTCAAATACTCCTCTACTACCTAAACTTTGGAAAAAGCAACTTTATTAAAACAGTTGAGTTTCAGTGTCATTTCTAAAAGTATAATCTGATCATTTCATTGAAGAATAATGACTAATTAGATACCAGACACAGCACTCTTGTCTGTGAACTATTTTTTTTTTTTTTTTTTTTAAAGAAGAAGAAAAATCGTCTTTATTTTCAGAATACACAATTAACTATGGGTCATTGCTGGAAAACTTAACATAAAAATGACTAGTATTGAGTTTAGTAAGCTCACAAGTTAATATATAAATGCCAGTTGTACTTTAAATAATAGTAATAAACACTCAAGAGATAGAAACAATATAGCCCATATATAATGACATCAGCAAACCTGAAATACTTAGGGATTTATTTAACAAAATATGCTTAAGAGCTATATAGTGAAAATTATAAACCATTACTGAAAGAAATTAAAGAAGACATAAATAAATGAATATTTTGTAAAGACTGCAAAGCATCTAAATTAACCAAAACTATTTTGAAACAGAACAATGCTGGAGGATTTACTCTATCTGAATTCAAGATCTACACTAAAGGTGCAGTGATCAAGCAAATGTGATGGGCATAAGGATATCTTAGAGCAAAGGATCAAAGGAACACAATAGAGGGCAGACGGAAACCCATGAAAATATGAACAATTGATTTTGGGCATTGCTAAGGGAACTTAATGGAGAAAAATTAATCCCAACCTTCATTGTTATGTATGTATGTATGTATAGCTATGGATCCCTGGTGTGGCTCTGTAGGATCAGCACTGGACTATGAACCATACAATCTGCATTTCAAGCCCATTACTTACTCCTGGGAAACCGTACACAGGGTTGCCATGAGTCAAAACCAACAATACTCAACAGGGATGTCCATGTACTAACTTTACAAGTACTTAATTTACATCTTTTTGTTGTGTGCCATTGAGTCACTTCTGACTCAGTGACCCTGTTTAGGGTTTCTGAGAGAGGCTGGTGGGTTTGAACAGCCAACCTTATGGTTAGCAGTCCAGTGCTTATTCTAAATGTCCCAATTTGATGACCATGAGGTTAGAAATGAAAATATTATGTAAATGCAGGATTTTACCTTCTGTATCCAAGCAAGATTACATTAGGACTAATTCTGACTCTGTAAACCTGAAGATATTACAATCCTCAGAACATCTATTTGTTTAGCAAAACATAATGTAAACCTACCACTAAACTGGGAGTCCTGGTGTGGTGCTGTGGGTTAATGCTCCTGACTGCAAAGTAGGTTTGAACTGCAAGGTCAGCAGTTCTAGCTCACCAGCCACTTCTCAGAAACCCTATAAAGGGTCACTATGGGTCAGAATTGACTCGCTGGAACTTAACAACAAACAACCACCACTAAATTGTCCCCAAGTTTGATTCTCTTAAATAGTTCTTCTTACTCTATTTCTTTTGACCTTTCACATCTTTATTACAAAACAAAACAAAACAATTAAATAGTTCTTCTTACTCTATTTCTTTTGACCTTTCACATCTTTATTTTCTTTTGCTTACTGGATGTTACCTTGTCACCAACATTACATTTTCAAAGTTACAAACTCTAATCCACAGCTACTTTCTATAGCAGCTTTAGTTTTTCCAGAGACCTTGAATGTCAAGGACTTTTTTCAAAAGTTACTGAGGTTCTAATATAAATGTCTGTATGTTTACTGACACATAAACATGTTAGTCTTATATTATCTACTTTGCAAAATATTACACCTCAAATCACAGACTTCTGTATTCAGGATGATGATCCCACCCAAATAGTGTGTTGAGAATAAGTGTGCCAAGTACTAATCCCCTAGCCCACAAGATAGTGGGGCAGGCTCCTCTGGTCAAGAGCACCCTTACCTGTTTGTCCAGTGTGTTGTGACAAATTTCCTAATTATCTCTGTGTGCCATGATGAGAACAGGGTTGGGAAGTACTGGCCTATGGAACACAAATCAGCACCACATTACTACAGTGCTGAGTAAACAGGGCAAACTCAGGAAAAAGGATTGAGTTTTATTTCTTGTAAGGCTTTATTCTAGTTTCTTCCCAAATATTCCTGAAACCACAACACTGGCACATATAACTCACTTCTTTACTATTTTCACATTCCCAATGCTACTCAACAGCAAGCTTTGCTTAACAGGTAGAATTCTGAACTGCAGCTGGCAGGCAACCAGGTAAGCCAGTCAAAGACTGAAGAAAAGCCTTAATAATTTGGCTCCATTTAGAATGGATCCCCAGCTGTGATCTGGAAGGCCAATCTAGCTGGGGATAGTGCTGAGGAACAAAGAATTTTAACAACATACGGCATAAGCACTGCCTTAGTTTCCAATCTGTGTCTAGAAGGAAGGGTAGTCCATCCTTTTCCCATAGTGGATAATAACCAAGGCAATCTGCCTGCTTTATTATTAAGGGAGTTAAATAAAATGATGACTTTCTTATTTGAAGAAGATGTAAAAAAGGCTGACGCAATCACGCCATAGTCGCTAAATTATTTAAACTTCAGGGCAAGAGGTTAGTTCAAGGATCACTAGAAGAGAAATTTAGAGAATCCTTTAAGAAGCAAGGGAGCACAGTGGCCCTGTAAGATAAGCACTGGATTGTGAGCCATGAGGTCCAAGGTTTGAGGCCACCAGCTTCTCCATGGGAGAAAGATGAGGCTTTCTGCTCCCACAAAGATGTAAAGCCTCAGGAACTCTAAACAGGGTCGCTATGAGTCAGAACCAACTCCACGGCACTTAACCACAGTAACATACGAAGCAAATCGTCAGGAAAAGCTGCTTTTTTTTTCTTCAGTCAATGAAACAACTTGGCTTTCTACTCTGTGGCAGACAATATACCTCTTAATCTTGAATATATGTATTTTCAAAATTTTGTTTTGAGTATTAACATAAAAATATAATTCATTTGGATATTACATTTTATGAAAGTCTACATTACCTAATACAGAAACATCCATTCTGATTTTTTTAGTTTTGACCAGTAAGATGGCAATTTTAGGCACACTCATAAGTCTGGATGTGAAATCATAGAATTTAAAAATTATTAGTATTATAATAAGTAATATAAATAACTGATTTTGGTATGTTTAAAATATTATCTTTAAATCTGATTTTAGATTAAAAAAAAAAAAAAAAAAGCCAAACCATTAACAGTGGCAAGCTGCTTCTGGATTGTGTAATTTCAGGGGCTATTTTTTCCTGCATTTTATTGCAAAATTTCTAAGAGTGAGCATGTAATTAGAATGATAATGTTTTTGAGAAATATTGACATCTAGAAACTGCAGGAATGTGGTTGTTTTTTGTCAGTAAAGAATAAATGTTTAACCCAAACCATTTGGAAACACATACTTCTTTCCATTTCTTGTAAATCTCTTCAAGAACTGGGAGTGAATGAAGGTGGAAGACAGCTATACAGCGGGGGTGGGGGGGGGGGGGGGGTGGTGGGGTGGGGTGGGACAGTGAATGGTGCATTACAAACATTGGTTGGGGGCTAATGTCAAAGCCACACATCCTCCTTCTTATGTCTCTCCTCTCCCTTTCAGGTCATACACCCCATCTTCCTGGTCATAGTTTAAATTCCATCATAAAAATGGTGGAAATACTGAGTCACGAATTATTTGAAGAGTCCCAAAGGGCTAACAATACCTTTAGACTTCTACTCTGATGTATCTCTTATAAATAAACACTCTAAAGCAAACTGATGCCAATTCAATGCAAAGGCATGAATATCCTAGCTCCACTTTCTTTGACACTTCATGTCTTGTGCTACAATCTGTTTTAACTGAAAATCTATTTTTTCTTCTGCTTTATGAACCTTTCTAGTCTTTTTGTGTTTTTAAAGTATGAGATAAAATTGCTGCTGTTGTTAAGTGCCATCAAGTTGGTACCGACTTATAATGACCCTGTATAGGGTTTCCGAGGAGTGGCTCTGGTGAGCTTGAACCGCCGCCCTTGCCATTCAAAGTGACCCTGCAGTCCAGCACATTAACCCACAGCACCACACCAGGACTCCTTAGATGAAAATAGAAAAAAGACAATTTCTAAAAGATCATTTTATCTTAAAAAGGAATGTATATATGAGCTATAAAAAGAGATGGTAATATTTAACTCTAAACATGGCCAACTGGAGTATACTGCTGTTATTTTCTGTTTCTTATGAGAATGCAGGCAATATAAATAATTGAATATTAAAGTTGACATCTGGCTACAATGGAACATTTTGTTGTTGTTTATCCTAAAAGAGCACATACGTTTTAGTTGGGAAACTTACAGGTGTTTATTTATTTATTTATTTTTAAGCACTAAAAAACCACTGCCACTGAGTTGATTCAAACTCCTAACATCACTAAGTAGGGTTTTAAAAGCTGCAAATCTTTAAAGAAGCAGGAAGTCTTATCTTTCTCCCATTTTAAGTACTTAAAGACTATAAAATGAACATATTTAAAGTAAATGTGGCAAATATTTTATACCATGTTTCTGCCTGCCACATACTACAAAGTCAATGATTTGTACAATCATTAAAATTATTACTTTAAAAAAATAGCCAATTGTTCCCTTTCACATGAAAACAAAACACAACAAAACAAAAATTATCTAGAATCTGGTTCCTTTCTTAATTCTTGATAATGAAAAAATGAGTGCTATGCAAATAATCAAGTATGATTTTACAGTATATTTCTAAAAGCAGTGAGTAAGGAAGAGGGCTTCAAAAAGTTTGTGGGAAAGTAGAATTAAAAGGTATTTGGAACTTTACTCTGCAGTTTTTGAAGCCCCCTTGTATATATAAGCCATAAACTACAAACAAGAACAGCTCACCATTAATGCAAATACGTGAAGAGCATGATTGGTTTCAGTGTTGACATGGTATTTATTAAATAGAGAATTTAGGTATTTAAAGTTGGAAGAGGTGACAGAAAGTGTAGAAATAATATTCTAAGCAGACATTTTAAGAGGATTAAATTATCTGCATTTATAAAATCCCTACTGGGTTCTCTTGAATGTTGTTGAAATTTTAGCATAACTAGAACAAAAATTAACATAATGCGGTGATAAATTACAAAAACACAAAATTCCTATTTGGCCTGTGTATGATTTTTTCCCCCTTCCAATTATGGGAGAATGAAGAGAAAACTTATTTAACTATACATTACTTGGTGGTGGTGGTGGTGGTGTTGGTATGCCGTGGAGTCGGTTCCGACTCATAGCCACCCTGTACAGAGTTTCCAAGGCTGTAGATCTTTAAGGGAGTAGAAAGCCTCCTCTTTCTCCCATGGAGCAGCTGGTAGTTTCAAACTGCTGACCTTGAGGTTAGCAGCCCAATTCATAACCACTATACTACCAGAGGTCTCTATACATTGTTTAGTTAACAGCAATAGATAGATGACACAGGAAAGTGAGGTAGGATATTACAAGGGAGCTTCAAAAAGTTTTGGGAAAAATTAAACTAAAAGAAAATGGAATTTTTCCATGAACTTTTTGAAGCTCCTCTATATATATTTAAGACCCAAGAAATTTTAACATATTTTGATTTGGTTTTAAAACAGTCACTACAAAAAAAAAAAAAAAAAAAGCTAATTTAATAGTAGTTTAAGATGAGAACTTTGTACAGCAAATGATACATGTTTAAACTAATGCTATAATTATGTCCCTAAACACACTTAAGACTCAGTACAGGTGACAATTCTATATGATCATGTCAGCCACAATTCTGAGTATTACAGACATGTTGTGAGTAAAGGAAATAAAACCCGGCACTTTTTAATTCTCTTAAAGTCATGATTTTGGACACTGAAGCTTGACACTGATTTATTTATAACATGAAACCTGAGTGAAAACAAAAATTCCAAACTGTCAAAATAAAAAAAAAATAGACATAAACAAATTAAGAAAGCTCCTTAAAAATCCTGAATAGGCACATTTCTGTACAAACTGCTGCATTAGTGTAATTCATGTAAAAGTTACTTTGAAAACATGCAGAAGAATATGATATTGACTATCTCAGTACAGAGGAAATGTTTGGTTGTATCTATTAACACACCATGCTTTCATTTTAATATTAATAAGCAGAGATACTGTTCACATATACAGATCAAACTGTATATGTGAATATAAGCCTTGTCACTGCAGTTTCTCCTAAATGCAGCACTGCATATATCCAATCTAGCCATAAGATTCAACAGACACTACGAGCTACAGCAGTGTTGCTGAACACTGTCAAATCCAGAACACTGGACAGAAAGACATCAGCCCCGATTTTCTCAGAAGATCCTTTAACTGAAATAAGTACAGGATTAATGTATTGACCTTTAAGCAAATGAATACTGGAAATCAGGGTTCAGTTATTATAGGCTATACACTATCGAGGGAAACATACGCTTTATATGAATAAAAGCAATGCCTACTCAGAGTAACTGTTAGAGCTCTAAGTCATCAGAGTTTTAAGTGACTAGGAAGCATTGCTTCCTTATTGTTTAAACAAATTATAAACGATCAGTTTCTAATTTTGAAAAGCTGTCACTGAACCTCCTAAAGTCTAGTGCCAAGTCACTAAGGAGCCGAGTAATACCACTTGCTCAATGCACATGCAGCACCGGGCCTCCACAGCATCACACATTTCTCACTGTGAAACATGGTACTACCAAAAGGGAAGGTGGAGATCACCTTGTAAGCCCTCAGCCTCAACAGAGTGGCTGATTAGCTTTCACTTTCCCTATAAACTAAATTGCAGGAGCATCTATCTATCCATCACTCTTTAATTACATCATTCTTATATTTGGATGATGGCTGCCTAGCATAAAAATTAAATATGTCCTCTGATGCACATCAGGATATCTTTAAATATATGCTTATGTTTCACTACTAGAGTGATTAAACACACCCTTACTTGTCTCCAATCTGTCACACTAGCCAGCCTAGATAAAAAACTATTAACCGTAAGCAAGAAAATGGGCTCAGCCATGAAGAAACAAAATGTCAACCAAACTTTAAATTATACAATCAGTTCTGCAGATAGTTTACCTTGAGAAGAAGAAAAAAGCAACTCACAAAGTTAAATAAAAATATACAATCTATTCTTTAATTAAAAAATGAGCCAATCTAAGTTTATGCTTCTAATTTGTCCATGCACACTTATAATAAAAAGTGTATTCTGCCATATAATTTACTTTCAATAGTGCATTGAAAACACCATATATGTAATTATAAAACTTTAAACCGTCTCTCTTTAAACACACACACACACACATGCATGTATGTCTGCATATATACATATAAATATTATTTAAATTGTGGTTTCTAAGTCAGGATTTTAAGCTTTAAGCAGCACATTTCTTAAGTAAATGATACCCTGAAAGTTAAGCACATTGTTACTATTTTTTAGTACCAAATAGAGAAACAATATAGAGTATTTGGAGAAACCAGAAATATATAATAGTTCATTTGTGCTTTTAACTATGAGTGGCACGGTAAGAACGAACCCAGTTTCAGGGTTGCTGTAGCAGAAGCGTGGAGAGCCTGACCGACTTCCTTTCCATCACCATCACTTTACTTAGGGTTGAGATATTCAGGGCCCACACACAGGCTCAAGTACAACACAGAATTCCTGGTTCACCTGGGCTTTGCGGTGAACACAGGAGCTCTTGACCCATTTCTAAAGAAAGGGGAAGAACTCTATGTAGTCCCCTTTCATGAAAAGTTAAAAATAATTATTAACAACAAGAACTGCTTATCTTTAATATACCTTGTACTGCTAGAAGCTGCTCCTCTGTGGTCCAACGGGCATTAATTTTCTGATTTGACTACAAAATTAAAGAGAAGTTTCCTAATGAGGATGTGAAGACAGACATTTTTCCAACGTGCTTATTTTTTTTTTAACTTTTCACCACATCACAGACACACGATTACTAAAACTCTAATTTATGAAGAATTACCTTTCAGAAGGATTAAAAAACATATCCTACATTACCTTTAACCCACACAGAAAGATAATGAAAGGAAGATGCATCAATATGAGAGAATGAATATTCTGCATTTTATTCTAGCCAGGAGACATTAAAACCTGAGAATATCCATGAAAGTAACCACTCCATTTTCTGATTACAATGTCCCAATTACATATCACAGATAGCAATTTTAGCCATGTTTTAAAAATTTTGTTGTTGTTGTTAGGTGCTGTAGAGTCGGTTCGACTCATAGTGATCCTTTCAAAGGGTTCCTGAGGCTGTAAATCTTTATGGGAGCAGAAAGACTTGTCTTCTTCCCGCTAAACATTTTATGAAGTTTTATTTTCTTTGGAGAAGATCTGTTAGTCTCTAAAGCGTTTTCCCTTGATATTTACATTAAACTTATTCTTACTCTATAATAACTAGTATAAATTGACTGGAACTGTAGACCAAGCCTCAGTTCTAAAATATTCCCTTAAATTTCTGATAGAAAGGATTTCCCACCGCAAGATTTCCCAGTATTATTATGAAAAAAAGAAAAAAAAAAGCTAGGTTTAAGATGTATCTATGATGGCAATATTACATATTCCATACCTAAGCACATTTCATTAGTGTATATCTATTAATAAATCAAGGAACGTTGGCAGCAGATGGCGAGACAGTAACCAAGTACACTGACCTCTGAGGCCTGCAGTAAGAGGTGCCAAGAAAAAGTAGCCTGGTGTAATACCAGAACGGGCTGGGCAAAGCAGAAAGAAAGGCTTCCTTTGAATAGAGAAGGGTGTTTAGGTCTTACCTCAACGATAAGTCTTAAGCAATTAAAAGCTTTTATAGTCACAGAGATTCTGGGTAACACTAACTTTTACACTATGAATGAGCAACAGAACAAAGGATGAAACAAATATGCAAAATTAGAAAACCATATTTTTATTACAAGAGAAAGTAGGGGAAAGAATCTAAGGCAGAAAGTGCTGGAATTCAGATGAGATTTAAAAGGTACAGCAAATGGGCCAGATGGTACATAGTGGACAAGCCTCAAAGTTAGGATACTAGCAATAAGGCAAAAAGGAAGAGAGAAAGACAGTGAATAGGAAAACTGATAAAGGCACATACAAAAACAGTAATAAGAAAAAGGTGAATCAAAGCTAAATAAGGGGGTAAAAAAAAAACACCAAAAAGAAAAAGGAGACGATAGGGAAAAAATCAGAAATGCAAACACATGTCCCAAAAAAAGTGAGGAACAAGAATGGAGATGGAGATAAAATTTGAGTTACCCTAACAAACTTATTCTACCACAGCTATGAAAGGCTGATAAAAGAGGTCCTTAATAACTAGTATATTGAATAAAGAAAACTAAACGGTTTACTGTAATTTAGTTTGAAACTAAACGTTATGAAAACCAGTTTATTTTCTCAGTGTCCTCTTATAATCATGACTCACACTATTCTTCTGAAGTTCCTGCCCAGGAGTAAGCATCCTTTCTTGTTGTTGTTGTTAAGTGCCATCGAGTCAATTCCAACCCATAGTGACCCTGTATAGGGTTTCCAAGGAGTAGCTGGTGAGCTTGAACCACTGAGCTCGCAGTTCAAATGACTTTGCATTCTGATGCATTAGCCCACAGTGCCATACCAGCATCCTTTCTTGTTGTTATGTGCTGTGGCGTCGGATCCGACTCATAACGACCCTTGTACAGGGTTTCCGAGGCTGTAAATCTTTGCGGGGTCAGAAAGCCTCATCTTTCTCCTGCGGAACAGCTGGTAGTTTCAAACTGCTGACCCTGAGGTTAGCAGCCCAATTCGTAACCACTGTGCTACCAGAGCTCCTTTCTTGTTGTTGTTGTTGCTACATGCCATCGAGTTGCTTCTGACCCATAGTGACCCTGTATATGGTTTCCAAGGAGCAGCTAGTGAGCTTGAACCACCGACCTTGTAGTTCAAACGACTTGCAGTCTGACGCATTAGCCCACAGCGCCACACAATTCAGCTGGATACTCATACCAAAGATTTTACAGGTAATTTTCTCTTACACTCTGACATATGTCCTAAAGGCTTCGATCTTTTGTAATATGTATCTGAAATTTTATTTTGATTTATGCTGTATCTGTACTGTATTGGCAAAAACCTGATAGTGAAAGATGTTGCTATGGTGGATGGAACTGATAACACTGGAGCCAATTGTTAGGAATACTGATGAGTAGAGTCTAATTGTACAAGGAATCACTTAACTAGTGAATATTTTCGTATTTGTCAACTTTTGCTTCTTGGTGCTTCTTCTAGATTAATGAGTATCTGGACACTGAGGAGCATCTGTAAGGTCTACATTGGCAAGTTTCTCCGAGGATCAAACATAACATGAGGAAATATTTTAGAATATGAGGGAGCCTCAAAAAGTTTGTGAAAAAATAGAATGAAAAGATGATATTTTCCCACAAGTTTTTTGACGCCTCCTTACATATGTAAAAAACATCTAGACCAGTACCTAGCAGACAGAATTTAATTAATTGGTATTTAATTGTTTAATCTAAAAGACAGAACTAGAAGAAAGGTATCATTAATGAAAAGGTAACAAAAAATGAAATAAAGTACAAAACAAGTGTTTTGTTTTTTTTATTAGTATTCCTACAATGCTGATCACAGAATAAAGAGACATCATCTACACTTCCTTACAATCCAATCAGATTACATTAACACAAATAACTCTAATTAAAAGTAAACAGCACAGCATATATTGGAAATTCAAAGACATGAGAAAAAGATACAATGATCAGAAGGAAGGGCTAGAGACTGAGATGGGTTTTAGAGGAGAAAGTTCTGAAAGACAGCGATAAGAAGGCATTCAGTTGAACAGAAAAACAGGATTTGTGTCAGGAAGAAGTGAGAAATAAGCCAGGAAAGCTGGTATTTAACCAAAGTAAAGTTCAGTGAGGACCACTTTTGGGAGAACAGTGAAAATGAAGGTTGGTTAAGTTTACACTAAAGTTAATAAGCAATTTATTTTTTTTGGGTGAGGGAGGTGGAGTGGAATAGATAAGGGTATGAATTTTACTCCTGGAAAGCTGGGAAAAGGGTGAGGCCATTAAGAACGTAGGCAGTCAAGAAATGCTGATTTGGGAGGTGTGAGAAGATGAACTGAATTTGAGATACACTGAGAATGATGTTATTAAGCAGAATTTTCAGGTGGAACTCAGGTTCTACTGGAGACTACATTTTACTAATTTATTCAAATAAATTTTTTAAGGATTTGGGGAAATTTTTTAAGGGAGTACACAATGGAGCTGAATGTTACTCTGATATGGGGCTCTAAAATTAGCCTTTGAATTAAAAAGAAAAGATGCTCCTCTCCCCTCAAAACAAATTTCCCTAGAAGTATCCTAATGAAAGTAGCAAGATAGGTACAGTCTCTCAATAAATTAGCAAAGCTAGGTATTTTTCCAGCATTGCAATAGATCATTAGTTTTTGAGTTCAGCCCCAGATGAAGCTGTTGACTGGAACTTATGGGGGAAAAATATGGAACATTAGAATCTTACTCAGTTCACTGAGATGCTCACACAGGAGGCATGTGGAAGCTAAAACCGAGTAAAAGAAAGGTAGTGACAGTTTCCAGTCCCATACCTGCTTACTCTGGGTATATGTTCAATGAATAGCATTCAGACAGAATTGCCAACACTACTAAACTTGCTTCTATTAAACATAGTCCTTCTTTGGCTGAGTGCCTACGGTTGTATTTGTGTCATTTAAAATACACATGTGATGTGGCTCTACTACAGAGTTATGAGAGTGTACGTTATTTCTTAAGAGAAGGGAAGAGAAATAAATCCTAAGGATAAAAGCTTAGAGAATAACTATAATATATATATAGAAAGGAAAATCACAGCTGGGAAGATAATACAACAATAATAAAAGAGAATACAACCTTCAAAAGTAAAAGGAAGAAAGACAGGTAGTCATCTATATCAAAGGCTCAGAAAACGTTAAGGAGAAGGAGAATTAAGAGTTGTGCAATTTAGGCATCACTATCAGTGGCACTGTGGGCTAATGCACCAGGACTGCAAAGTCATTTGTGCATCAGACTGCAAAGTCATTTGAACTGCAAGGTTGGTGGTTCAAGCTTACCAGCTGCTCCTTGGAAACCCTATACACGGTCACTATGGGTCAGAATTGACTCGCTTGCACATAACAACAACATCATCAACATTAACCTCTAAGAAAACATTAACCTCAGTAGAGAAAACTCAGGGAGGTAGTGAAATTGTATGGAGTTGAAAAGTTTGTATGACAAAACAGAAGCCGTGGAAAAGGGGAAAGACTTGAGGAAAAATAAGGTGTTTTTTTGTTGTTGTTGGTGGTTGTTTTTTAAATACACAGCATTTCTTAAGTTACTGATTTCTATATTCTCTTTTGAACCCAACAAGCTTTAGTAGAAATTTGCCTAATTTAATGAAAGCACAATTAGCTAGAAGACATCTAGAAATCTAAAATGGTGTACGGTATCTGTGGTTTGCCATGCATACCAGAGCATATTTTTCTATCTTGAATGCTGTTTTAAACTTTAATAACATGAAAGGCCCCAAGAGCCTTCTAAAGCAGTCTCTGGCATCCCTTTCCTTGCTACATTAGCTTGTCTTTTCATCTTTCCCACTTTTGTCAGTGGGAAATTCACACTATTTGAATTGGAAAAGTTCACCAAGATAAACTTTCTACCCAATATTAAAAATTCCACTCAGCATCCATAATAATAAAAGTATGCCATCCACCTTTGCATAAAAACATCCAGAGATGGGGAAATCTCTAGCTTAAAAAGTACTCAGATCAGATGCATTAACGTTTCCACCTATCCACCTCCATTCAAAACAAATCCAAGTATAACAAAACACATGCCCATCCTTCACCCCCAACACTCTCACATACTTTTAAGGATTCACATTAATTTCTACTTGGAAATGTTGAGTACATTACTAGTTGTCTGTTTCTACAAGTAATAGCCAATCCTATTTGGTACTCCTCTGGCATTTTATTTTCTTATCCCCACACTTAGTATTTTAGCAGCTGTAAAGTTTCTCTGCTCTAATTTATCCTGCATAATAAATTATTTTCCTAAAATTAAAATTTTTTCATTACATCCTTTCTATACTGAAGAAATAATATGGTTTTTCCATTTGGCTTAATTCAAAAGGCACACCTCTGTAGCTTTCTTAAGGACTTTTATATTCTGGGCCTTGCCCAGTCATTCCTATGACAAATAAATCTCTGCTCAACCTTGTTAACATCTCTCTCAGACACCGAGCTTGTTCCTCCTCTGAATCTGAGTTTCCATTCCTCAGTAAACAATGAGGTTCTTGAGGGACCATGGTTTTACACTTCCATAGAATTCTCAATATTAGCACAATAACAAGTACTTAGGGAATATGTGTTGACTGGTTTTTAAGAAGACTTTTAATTTTCCCCAATGGACTTATATTTTAAATGTATCATTCAACATCAAACTGTTATTTATATTATTACCCCTCTGCCTGGAATATTTCCCTTTAAGAAGTCTTCCCTGATTATCCTAGCTAAAATGAATAACTTTAATGAATAATTTCTGTTTTACTCTAGCATTTTACTTTCAAACTTTTCATAAAACTTTCATTAGTATGCCTTATAATATCTAGATTGAATTATGATTATTTTTATAGCAGCTGGACAAGCCCACATTTCCCTCACATTTCTGCGTTTCCTCTCTTCCCACATACACTTCCCACAGTGCCCAACACAGCACTTTACGTGAAACAGATGATCAATAAATACTTGTGGAAGTGAATGGGCACTCTTCACCGAAAACTTGCCTAGATGAAAATAACGAATATAGATTATAAGTAAAGCATCCTAGTAACTGTTTACTTCCAGTTGAGTTCTTTATTTAATGACCTCCGTATTTATTCCAAAGGTTAACAACATACTCTGGTAACATATGATCTAACCCAAGGTAGGGAATGAACAGCATGATTTTTCAAAGTCTATACTGTGATTGTTAATCTAGTACTTTGAAATGTATCTATCCATATTGCCTCTTCCCACCATAAAGCAACAGAAATATGATAAATGTAAATATAACCTGAGCATCTTCCAGATGATATAAAACATATCTACTTTTCAAGTCATAAAAGTTCAATAAATCAGCCTCAAAGTAATATTGAAACTTCAGTGTAAGGATGGCACAGTATTAAGGTTGTATTTGTTTTATCTTGGTCATTATTTTTATTAAAAACAAAACAAAATGTTTTAAGTATTTGATAACTTCTAACCCAGTAACTGGAGTCCTGGTGTGGCGCGTGGGTTAATGCACCAGACCGCAAAGCCATTTGAACTACAAGGCCAGTGGTTAAAGCTCACCAGTTGCTCTTTGGAAACCCTATACAGGGTCATTATGGGTCAGAACCGACTTGATGGCACTTAACAACAACCCAGTAAGTGCATTAAAATGTCAGACTCTAACATGCAAATCTGTTACTATAAGAAAATGTCCAAAAGTAAGAGGCAGCATAATATAAACAAATCAAAGATTCCAACTGGTGGTGGTGGTTATTAGATGTTATTAGGGTTCCGAGGCTATAAATCTTTATGGGAGCAGAAAGCCTCATCTTTCTTCTATGAAACAGGTGGTAGTTTCGAACCACTGACTTTAAGGTTCACTGCCTGATTCGTAACCACTACGCTACTAGAGCTCCTTAAGATTCCAACTAGGATTCTAAAAATCTGAGAACTACTCAGAGAGTTCTACCACTTACTAGTAATGTGAGTAAGTCAGTTAGTCTTGCTGAGTCCTTGTTTGCTTATGTTGTTCTGTAATTTTCTGGAAAATCTGTGTAAGATTAGAATTATCTTTTTCTTGAACAGTTGGTAGACTTTTCCAGTAAAGGTGTCTGGGCTTTGTATTTCTTGTGAGAAAGATGGTAATTATTCTTCCAATTTACTTAAGGATTATAAACTATATGTTTTCATTCTTTTTGAGGCAATCTTGATAAGACATTATTTTCCTAGGAATTTCTCTATTTCGTTTAGCTTATTGTCATCATAAAGATATTTATAATATTCCCATGATTACAAGCATGTACAGTTTTTTGTTTATATGCATCTTTCAAATAAATTTTAAATCATTTTTAAAAAGTTCAATAATATAAAGTAATATTTTTTGTATTACATTGTCCTTAATTGTTACCAGAACGTCAGTTTACCGGTAGGTTTAATATATTAGTCTACATGGTTTTCTTTTTTTATTACTTAGCCTCCTTGAAAGAGAATTAGAAACAAAAACAAGTTTCTTGATTATAATTCTTCCTTCCTAAAAGACTCTAATGATTAGGAACACATATAGTACTTTACTTCTGAAGTATTTTTGTCCTACTTCTCCCTAGTTACCCCTTACATACTTAATTTATAAATACCTTCAGTCAACTTGTGATTTAAAAAATTTTTTTTGGAAAAACCACCCCATTAAGGCCAAATGAAATCATATTTAGAAAGGCAAATCCAGGATATGAAGAATATAAAAGAAAAAAATGAGAAAAAGATTTTATTACAGAAACTTTTATACAAAGACTTGATTATAGACCATAAAGGTATTTAAATAATTTTATAATTATCACAAAGATTAAAAAACTTACTTAGATTTCACCTAAAATAAAATAAGAGTTGGGAAAATAGTCCATCCGTACCTGTTTGTAGATTTTATATTTTCAGGGATATAAGTACATGGATGTCAGTTCACATACTAAACCCCTCATTGGAAATCTGAATCAAAAGACAAACACTTTAAAATACAAATGTGCTAAAACTATTAAGATGAGCGCCAGTTCTGGAGCTCCTCTCCTTGCTGTGTTACCAACTCACACAAGCAGGAAAAGGCATCAAATAAAGCTTGCTGCTGAGACAGAACTGCACTGGCTTGCTCATCTGATGATCATCTCCTATAGCTAGCTCCCCTTAGTACTTTGCTGTTTGTCAATATCTAAGGGCAAGAAAGAAATGACTTAGCTTTTTTCAGTTTAGTCATTAGTCAAATCTCAACAGACCAATGATCAAAATGAACACAGCAAATTATCTACATTATGAAACCTTCAAAGTATTACTAACCCAAGACCAAAACAGTAGTTGAATATTGGATAACTCAAAAACCAAAGCTGCACCATATAATCACAAGTTTCTTCAGTAACATACCTCGGGAGGTTTGAATTCTTCAATGCCACCTTCCATTTTCTGTTTAAGTGCACTGTTTACTTGCTTAGCATTCTGAACCTTCAAAAAAAATAATCCAAAAAGAGAACTGGATCACTTACTTAGGTAAATGTTTGAGTACTTAAAAGATGAAAATGGTGACCAAAATTCCTTTTAAATATTATTTCAAGAGGACAAACATATTTACCACTTAGAGTGTAATACAGCACTCATTACACTAATGTACACATCAATTAAAAAGCAAATTTCGTAAGTCACAATTCTTAAATATCTTTTAACAATGTCTCTTATAACCAAAGACAATTAATATTTATAGAAAATAAACTACATCTATATGTGTCTCAGTACCATATGTTTTGACCAAATAACATTTATTACAATATGATAGTGGCTAATATTGTTTACTGTGTGTAACAAAACATCATTCTGAATGATTTACATGTAATTAACCACTTAATCCCTACAACCTTATAAGGTAGATAAATGAGTTCTGTAATCTATGTCACCATATTACGCAAAATCTCACACATACAATAAAGGGTTACAACACCCAAAACTTCATCAGTGATACATAAAAAGGTAAGAACCTAATAAAAACACCAGCACACCTTTATATATAGCTTAAAAATTCATAAATACTATAATAAAGATGGCACCTTATCTTCAAAAAAGACCTTCAGTTTGTTTGTGGGAAGTGGGCATAAAAAAATGGTTATAGACTGTGAGTTATTGAAAAACAGTGGAAGAAGTGTTCTTTGAAATGAGAGGAAAAGTTGGATGTATGTGGCTTGTCTCACACACAATGAATTGAGATAGCTAGTAATGTCTTAAGTGTTCGGCTGGGTGCAGTTTTTCACTGACAATATCACACACAAACACAAAAATTTATATTACGCTCAAATTGTTCCCTATTTGTGGCGCCATGGGTTAATGAGCTGGACTGCAAAGTTGGTTTGAACCACATGATTGGCGGTTAAAGCTCACCAGTTGCACCTCAGAAACCCTTTACAGGATTGCTATGGGTCGGAACCAACTCGATGGCACTTAACAACAACATACCAACTGTGCTGGGATACATTCTTGTTTTCAAAGTAAGCATTACAGCAGAGTTGACTACTTCTATGACCAACCATTTTACAGATGGGAATTGTAGGGCACAGAGAGGTTCAGAAACTTTTTCCAAGGTCATAAATAGGAGATAGAGCCTAAACATGAACCATACCAATTTTCTAATAACAATATTGTTAGTCTCTACATAGATTGTTAAAGATTGTGATTTTGGAGTTTTTTATTCTTTATCTTTTTGTTTTTAAGTATGGGAAATCAAGTATGTATATAAAGTGATTTTTTTTTTTTTTTTTAATCAGAGAACTTGAAAACACAACTAAAATGTATAAATCTAGGATGATTCAAGGGTAGTTAGTTGGGTGGTCACCATCAGATAGAAAAATGGAGATGAACTACAGTCTTATCATTTCATAGATAAGTGGTTGTTGTTAAGTGCTGTCGAGTCAATTCTGACTCACAGCCACCTTGTAAAAGAGTTTGCGATGAGCAACTGGTGGGTGAGAACTGTAAACTTTGTGGTTAGCAGTCCAGTGCTTATCCAACACCAGGATTCCTAGATAAGTGGAGAGATAAATAAATATACAAGTCTGACAAATACCACACCCCGTGACACCTAGAAGTGCAGAGATTTGGAAGAAAGAAAACAAAGAAGTGTATGCTACGTATGTTTTGGTAAACAGGTGGTGATGAAGACTAGGGAAGGTTTTCCAGAGACGACATCTGAACTGAGCTTACAAGATTAATAAGGATGACGCAAGCAGACATTATGGGGATAAGGAATGAATTACAGGCAAAGCATTTAGGAAGGCAGGAAGGCCCTAATGCATGGACAAGAAATCAGACAGAGGACAGAAAAGGTGTTTGAATTTTGTTTAAAGATCGTAGGAAATGGAAAGGATTTTTAAGCAAGGGAGTAACATGACCTTCCGTGCCTTTCAGAAAGACCATTTCAGTAAAGAAAAAATGTGGTGGAAGAAAATGGAAATTAAGATTCATGGTTGGAAATGTTGAGGACTTTAAGTAATGCAGTAGGAATGAAGAAATAGTACTGGTGTTCAGAGAAAGGTTTAAAGAAACAATTTGGAAACAAAATTAAGATGTCTTTGTAAACACTTGATTGTGGAGAATTAAGGAGGAGATACTGGTAGCGTAGTGGTTATGAATCGGGCTGCGAACCACAAGGTCAGCAGTTCGAAACTACCAGCTGTTCCGCGGGAGAAAGATGAGGCGGTCTGCTCCCGTAAAGATTTACAGCCTCGGAAACCCTGTACAGGGTCACTATGAGTCGGAACCGACTACACGGCACACAACAACAACAACGAGGAGGAGATATGAAGGGTAACACTTGGGTCAATGGCTTGAACTGAGTATTGTTGTTAATAAGCGTTGTTGAGTCGGTTCCAAACCATAGCAACCCTGTACAGGGTTTCCTGGGAACAGCTAGTGAACTTGAACCACCAACCTTGTGGTTCAAAGTGACTTTCTGGTCCAGTGCATTAGGCCACAGGGCCATAACAGGACTCCTGAACTGAGTATGGAAAAAGAGAAACATATAACTAGGGTGGGTGTGGAAGAGTTCTGTTTGGGCATTCTATATGAGATGTGTTTGGTATGTAAAAGTAACAATGGCTAGAAGAATTGATAACTCACGGATGTAAACCTTTACTACGTCATACATCAAATGGATTTTCAAGCAAAGAGTTTTAAAAAAAAAAAGAGTCCTTTTTAATAACAATTGCTGGCGAGGATCCACTGCTGGTGGAAATGACAAATTGTACAGCTGTTGTGAAAAATAGTGTGATGGTTCCTCAAGAAACTAAAAATAGAACTACCATATGACCTAGCAATGCCACTCATAGGTATATACATAAGACCTGAAAAAAGAGATTCAAATAGATACATATGCACATATAAGGGGGCTTCAAAAGTTCATGGAAAAATTCCATCATCATTTAATTAATTTTCCAAATTTTTTGAAGCCCCCTCATATGCTCATTAAAGCATTATTCACAAGAGCCAAAAGGTAGAAATAGCATACATGCCAATCAATGGATAATGGATAAACAAAATGTGGTACATACACACAATGGAATACTACCCAGTCAGAAGATTAATGAAGTCCTGATCCATGCTACAATATGGACGAATCTCAAAAACCTATGCTCAGTGAAATAATTCAATCCCCAAGGTTCAAATACTGTATGATTTCATTTATATAAAAATTCAAGAACAGGCAAATGTATAGAAATCAGTTTGTTAGTGGTTATCAGAGGCAGGAGAAAGGGGGAAGGGGGACTACTGCTTACGGAGTATTGGATTTTGGTTTAAGCTGACAGGAAATTGAATTACTTAAAGCTAGGGCTGCACATCCTACTAATGTAAATGCTGTCAGTAAATTGTACACCTATAAAAACATAAATTGGGAAAAGTTGTAGAATAGATATATTTACAAACAAGAAAAGAAAGTAGCTGCTGAGGCTTCTTATGTATGACCAAACATCGCATGGGATTTGGTTTCCTGATTTGGAGGGTCATGGTATCAAGGGACATCATAGTTAATTGGCCTAATAACATGTTTAGTGCCTCTAATCTCCCCTGAGTTCACTGTATAGTACCTGCAGTGGCCATTCAAGGTACAACAATTTGTCTCTATTCGCCTGGAGTAACAGATTAACAAGAGTCAGGAGGAGGAGGATATGGAATGTGTGGCTACTTGCCTATATATGAACAAACTGCCTCCTTTGCAATGAGACCAGAAGAACATCATCACTGAATATTTTGGTACAAGATTATAGAGAAGAATCCTAAAGAAAAGGGGGAAAATGCAGCACAGATTTCCAAATTCTCATGGAATTCACGGAGCTAGAAAGGCTGAATGAACCCCAAAACGACAGCTTTAAGATAATCTTTAAACCTCAAAACAAAAATATCCCGAGATCTTTTAAAAACAAAAAAATACAAAGGGGCTTCAAAAAGTTCATGGGAAAATAGAATGAAAAGATAATGGAATTTTTTCATGAACTTTTTGAAGGCCCCTTGTAGTTTAGTTAAACTTGTAAAAACCATCTGGTTTGAGCATTACACTCTTTTAAGATCTATTTATAAGCACTCGACCATAGGTCGGTTTGAACCACAAGGCTGGTGGTTCAAATTCATCAGTTGTTCCTTGGAAACCCTACACAGGGTCACTATGAATTACAACTGACTCAACGGCACTTAAACAACAACCTACTTAAACAACAATAACATAAGGGATCAAATTGAAAACAACAACTTGAAAGACTAGACAGAAGCCTTAGGGGACACTGAGTATATGTCAACAGGGGGAGGAAGAACTCAGAAAAGGAGAGTGAGAATGTTTGCACAACTCAAAAAATGTCCTCACTGCCACTGAACTGTAGGTAGATATTTACACTGGTATGTTGTTGAAGCATATATTCCCAATAATATAAATAAAAAATGTATTTTAAAAGTTCCTTTTTTAAAAGTCAATATAAAGTCTAAAAGTGTAGTAGTAATATTGAGGTTGAATGAACACATTTTACTCATCATTTAATAAGCAAAACTGAGTGCTTTATAAATACTACAAGCAAAGCTTTTTAGAAATTGCTTGGAGCGAAGACATGCTGTAGTTAGGAAGACAGCAGTCCCTTGGGTGCATTCATGGACTGACTAGAAATTAGGCATTCAAACAGATGTACACTCAAGAGAATCCAGTGTCACCAAAGTCAAGGGAAAGAAATTCCGAGAAGGAAGACTTGGTTGACAATGTCAAATATTACTGAATAGTTACGGGATATAGAAACTAAAAAGAGAACAGCAGACTTGGCAACTTGTTCACAATCTTACAAACAGCTCCTTCAATGGTGGAATTGGGATGGATATGGGTGCAGAAACCAGATTTTGAAGGGCTGGAGAAAGTGCTAGCAAGAAAGCAGAGGACACTAATGTGGTATACTTATAAAGGAACTTGCTGGAGAAGGAAAGAGAAACATGAGTACTTTGGGTGAGTAACCAAGATTAAGGGATAGAGAAATCTGAACCTGCAAGAGATAGAGTAAATCCTTTTAGTCCCACACTCTATTGGTGCAAGGTTCTTACATTTTATGTGTTGCTGTTGTTAAGTGCCGTTGAGTCGATTCCAACCCATAACAACCCTGTATAGGGTTTCCGAGGAGTAGCTGATGAACTTGAACTGCCGACCCTGCAGTTCAAATGGCTTTGCAGTCTGGTGCATTAACTCACAGTGCCACATAAGAACGGTATAATATTAACTCTAAGTAGACTACAATAGAAGGCCCTTGTAGTTTAGTTTAGCTTGTAAAAAAATGTCTGGCTTGGATAAGCAGAAGCTAAGAGATTTTGCCAAAGCCAACCCTGCTATGAAAAACATCCTAAAGGAAGTTCTGTGGACTGAACAACAAGAACAAACAACTACAGAATGACATACATGGCAGCATCAACCTGAACTCAGTCGACAAATGAGAGACAAGAACAGAATAAAATTATAAGAACAGAGGATCTGGAGGTCAGTCTATGACCAAAACAATTACAATGTGAAAAAAGGTAAACAGAAGAACAGAGATCCAGGTGGTGGGAAGGTCAGGTAGATTACTGGATAAAATAGACTATCTTAAATAGAGGTAAGAACTAATGGAATATAAGGTAACCACAATGGGGTTGGTTGGGGGTTTATTTTGGGTGTTGGGGAAGGCAATACAAGAAGAGGGGAGGAGGCAGAAGAACAAGATAGATAGGGGAACACGGAGACAGGTTTGCATGGCCTAGTGGGACAGAGGTAAACAGTGATGCATACTCAACCTTGGAACAACAGGGCTCTGGGATACAGGGATCTTGAAGAGGGTAAATAATACTAAAATTCTTGACTGCCTTATGAGTATTAGTTCCCCTTGTCTACTATTGTAAAATAGACACTTGAGTGGGATAGAAAAGAATGTTGGGAAACATGATTAAAGAAAGCGTGTAAACCCGCCTTCAGCCTTTAACTGATTGGAATACCTCAAAGGGGTTCTACAACTTGCCCAGTGAAACAGGCTTAATGCAAAGCCTTCACAGAGTATAGGACTTTAGGTGGAATCCTGAGTCCCATCCACAACCTTGTGAGGTGAGACATTCCCACTAGAAAGGACAAGCAGACTGGAACAGCTACAGTGACAGAAGATACATCTTCATGATGAACCTGAATATACTCAGAGCGGTAGTTACTCTAAATACCAACAGATAGGGAAAGTGTCTTCAAATCAAGTATCAATGCTATCTGCTCTGTGCACAGGGTAGATAGTGTGGGGGAAAAGAAAGAGTCTCTACTAAATAGCTATCATCTTGTCTAGATGGGTCTGGTGAAAGGAGATGGGGACAAGATTCGTAAGATTCAACAGTGAATAACTTATCATGACTAATCGCGATTGTCACACTTGTAAAGGTAGAAGTTTTGTAACAAAAAAAGGGGAGTGGTTAATCTTACAGTCCAGAAACAGAGGACCCTAGGACCATCAAGAGAGGAACGCACAAACAGAATGCGGGACCCTAATCAGAGAAGCAGCAGCGCCAGAAACGGAGGTAGAGATGGGGGCATGGAGATGAGGAGCAGCTGAGGACTCTAGATTCATCAACTAAGAAGAGAAGGACTAAGAACTCATGGCCAGGAGCAGACTTGCAGAATGTGTCCTTTGGAGATGTAAATTATTATATATGCCTGAGTGGGTTTTTTGTTTGTGTGTTTTTTAAAAAGCTAAAGTGGATAGAGAAAAATACTTTTAATTGATGGTATATGGAGGGGATTATAATCAATGTATTGAAACAAGTTATATGAACTGTTAATGTGAAATTGATGATGTGCTCTGTAAACTTTCACTCAATCCACAATAAAAACCTTAAATTAAAAAAAAAAAAAAAAAAAAAAAGAGTCTGGCTTGAGTATTATGCTCTTTTAAAATCTATCTATAAGCACTTGACTGCAGAGAGAAGCCCTGATGGCACAGTGGGTAAAGCTCACAGAAGCTAACCAAAAGGGCACTGGTTAAGCTCTGCTAGAACTTCTGTAAAGATTTATAGCCTCAGAAACCCTATGAAACAGTTCTACTCTGTCCTACAGAGTCACTGTGAATCAGAACCAACTCAGTGACTGCAATAAACTAAGGACATACATTGTAATCCTTTGAGCAACTACTAAGGGAAAAAAATGCAGACAGATGGACCTGAAACTATTAATATGATCATGTTACACTTATCTTCAGCATCTTATATGGTTTCCTAATTCTAGGTAAATTTCAACTTTCTTAACATGGCCTCCTTATAAATCCTGCATGATGGTACCCTAGCTTCCCTCTGCTGTAATGTGCTAAAGGCAAAAGGAAATAAAGAGTTTTGAGATGACTGACCTTGATCAGGTCAATATTTTACAAAGGTAACACTGGCAGCAATGTTAAGATTATGTATGGAGCTGAAGAGAAGTAGACAACATGGAGAATGAACAGGAGATTTATTCATAATCAGGCAAGAGGTAATGAAGAAGTGTATAGTGATGGGATAAAAATGAGGGGAATGATTTAAAGGAAATTTCAGAGTAAAATTCACATTAATTTGGTTACCACTTGGGTATGTGTTGGGCAAAAAAGAAATCAAGGACGATTCTGGAATTTCTTGACAGGAAACAGAAAAAATATCTCCTGGAAGAAGATGTCTACAGGAAGCTGGAATATAGCTACAGAGTTCACAGAAAAGCCACAGCTTGAGAAGTAGATTTCGAAGTCACTGGTTGATACAGGCCAAGAGAGTAAGAGTACTTAGGTTTAAGGGATTGTTATTTTTGTTAAGTGCCGCTGAGTCAGTTCTGACTCACAGAGACCCTGTATAGGGTTTCTGAGAAGCAGCTGGTGGTTTGAACTGCTGACCTTGTGGTTCACAGTCCAGTGCTGATTCTACGGCTACACACACACAGTTAAATAACAAGAAAAAAATAGCCAACCAAAAAAATACAGGAAAAGATTGAAAAAGGCCAGAGATAGAGTAACAACATTAACTGAGCATTTACTGTGTTAGGCATTGCTTTAAACACCATCACATAAGACTTCATTTAATTTCTCCCAAATATCTTATCACTATCCTCATCTCCCAGATGAGAAAACTGAGCTGGAGAGAAGTTAAATGGTTCCCTAAGTTTCTACAGTAAGTAAATGGTGTAGGCCAGGACTAGACCTTGGGTTGACTCTTGATCTTACCTATGAGCTGATTATGAAGGTAGTACTCATACAACACTATTATTACTGATCCTATTGATGATTAGCACTTCCAATGTGTCAAGCATTGGGCTAACAAATTTACATGTATCATCTCAAATAATCCCTGACAACGTGAGAAGCTTGATTATTATCAAAAGAAATATAATTAATCAACCCAATTTGAAAGATAAGAAAAGGAAATTGAAGCTCAGAAGTTTCCATGCTCAAAATCAGAGAACTAAAAATAATAATGCTGGGATACAAATGTAAAACAGAGTGGAATCTTAACATTTAGAAACAAGGTAAAGTTTAAACCTTATAGAGGAGTGAGCTGAGAAAATATGCTAACAACTGACTTCAATCTAGGTAAAAGCAGAGAAATATAATTATAAAAACATAGGTTTTTATAAAGTACCTGACGTTTTAGAGAAATCAACTCCATGTCCAATTGCCTTAGGATGGTGTTGGCTGCATTGGGACTACAGGACACTGCTACCACATCTTCTTGGGTTAAATACATGCCCTTAGGTGGACGGCACTTGGAACGCTGAGAATGATGGCGATGCTGTAAACTCTGATACTCTCTCCTTCCTAGACCAATCTTGCTAGTTTGAACAGGTTGTTCAGTACTACCCTAGAGAATAAAAGACACAATAGCAAATTATTTATTTTTACAAATGTATAAATTAAACAGTCTATTACTAGAAGTATCTACTGCACTGTTGTTGTTAAGTGCCGTCTAGTTGGTTCCTACTTATAGCGACCCTGTGTATAAGGTTTCTTTGCAGTTCAAACCGACTTTGCGGTCCCAGTGCTTATTCTACAAAGCCACACCAGGAGATGCCTAAAAATAGTTTCAAAGTTTCAATCAATTACATTATGTGCAAGTCCAAATACATGCATAGGGAGCACTCATCAATGATAGGGTGGGAGTGGAGTGAATTGGTGGAGAGAGTGGACAAAATCAACAAAGTATGCTTGATGAATCCACTCAGACAAATCATCAGTTTTTAGACCCACAGGACTATGAATAAATGAAAATGAGAAACTTAAAAGAATTTAAACAATTCCTGTTTGATTCAAGATAATTTTCCCTCAGCAATAAAGGGGAGAACACAGTATAACTTATTAACATAACGTTTTAAAGAAAGGAAATAAATTATGAATTATTACATATAGATTACTTAGTAAAAATAATAGTTAACACTTCATTCTGTCTTCAAGATTGTTGAAAGAGAACTATGCCTCTAAAGGTAAAAATACAGAATTATCTTAACCTAGACAATATTTCTATGTTCCAAGTTCATTTTCTATGAATAAAATAAAATGGAAATTTATACCTCAGAAAAGGTTGCTGTTGTTGTTAAATGCCTTCAAGTTGTTTCCAACTCATAGTGACCCTGTATAGGGTCTCTGAGGAGCAGGTGGTGACTCTGAACCACTGACCTTGTGGTCCAGTACATCATCCCACAGTGACACCAGGACTCAGAAAAGGTTAGGAATGTTCTAACGATCAACATTAAAGTCTTAAGGAGGATTTCATTATTATAAGAGGGTTTTTTGCTTATTTTTTAAAAATAATTTTTAATACTTTTGTTGTGGTTTATATGTAACAAGGTGTCCTTGTGTGGCGCTGTGGAGTAAAGCACTGGACCACAAGGCTCTTTGAACCACAAGGTCAGCATTTCAAATTCACTAGCCATTCCTTGGAAACCCTAAACTTCAGAACTGACTCAACAGCACCTAACAACAACAAATATGTAACCAAACTATATAAACAATTTTCACATATACAATTCAAAGACATTAACACATCTGTCACATTGTGCCAAAAATTACTACTATCTATTTCTAAATTTTTATCACCCTTACCAAAAACTCTGCCCCTGAAGTAATGCCTCCACTTTCCCCTCCCACTTGGCTCCTGGTAATCATTAATGAATCTTGTTGTTGTTGCTACGTTCTGTTGAGTTGATTCTAACTCAAAGCAACCTTATGCACGACAGAACAAAACACTGCCAGATCCTGCTTGAGCCCACGGCTGCCACCACTATGCCAATCCATCTTCTTAGGGGTCTTCCTCTTTTTCACTGACCCTCCACTTTACCAAGGAGGATGTCCTTCTCCAGGGATTGGTCCCTCCTGATAATATGTCCAAAGTATGTGAGATGAAGTCTGACCATCCTGGCTTCTCAGGAGCATCTGGATGTACTTCTTCCAACACATATATGATTGTTCTTCTGGCAGACCATGGTACTTTCAATATTTTTCTCCAACACTGCAACTCAAATACATCAATTCTTTTAAAGTCTTCTTTATTCACTGTCCAACTTTCATATGAAAATACCACAGCTTGGGTCAGGAGCACCTTAGTCTTCAAACTGACATTTTGTTCTTGAACACTTTAAAGAGATCTTGTGCAGCAGATATGTCTACTGCAATACATTATTTGTTTTCTTGATTGCTGCTTCCATGAGTACTGATAGTTAATGCAAGCAAAATGACATCTCTGACAACTTCAGTCTTTTCTCCATTTATCACATGATGTTATTTATTGGTCCAGTGGTGATTTTTGTTCTTTCCATTGAGGTGCAACCCATGCCAAAGTGTGTGGTCTTTGATAATCATCAGTAAGTATTTTAAATCCTCTTTGCTTTCAGCAAGGAAAGCTGTATTATTTGCACCCTGAAGGTTACTAAGGAGTCCTCCTCCAATCCCGATGCCACAGCCATCTTCATATAATCCCATTTGTCGGGTATGTACTTAATATGCAGATTGAATAAATATGGTGAAAGAGTACATCCCTGGCACAAAACTTTCAGTGCCCCCTTGTTCTGTTTGAATAACTGCCTCTTTGTTTTTACGGTTCATACCATGTATCAGAACTTCATTTGTCTTTATGACTGAATTAATTGTAATATTCTGAAAGAGTGACATAAAAATCAGCGCTTCTGAGACAGGACTACGTGCTAGAAACTATGTCCATTAGGTTGAGGGCAATTTCACTGCAAAGATTTCACAGTCCAATTCTTTAGAAAAAGAGTTCTGAGTAAAACTCATAAAACAATTGTACAGTGAAGCATGCATGATCCACGTCACTGTTTAAAAACCAAACTCAAAGGAACATGGCAGATATGATGTTTCCCTAAATGTCTCTGAGTACACTATTGGTTCCAACTCATAGTAACCCTGTATAAGTTTTCCGAGAGTGGTTGGTGGGTTTGAACTGCTGACCTTACAGTTACCAGCTATCGCCCAACACCAGGGCTCCACTAAGTATGTGTTATTTTTGTTAAATGCAATCTAGTGGGTTCCAACTAAAAGCTACTCTGACATAAGGTTTCCTGTATGGCACTCCTATTGCTGGATCAGATATCTTTAAAAATCTTATAAATTTCAATGCTGAGCTGATAGGAAGTGAGGAAATTCCTTAGATGCCAGAAAGATGAGAAAGAGGAATCCAGAGGAATAAGAGAGTATTTAGGAGCTGGCATTTGTATAATGCCAGGATTCAATGGATAGCACACACAGGGTATAGGAACAAAGCCAGAACTCTTAAAGGGGAACTCTTATCATTGTGTGAAGTAGGAAAAAACCAAACCCTGCCCTGCAAAAGGAGAGGGTGATTAAAGGAAGCCATGACTATCTGAACACCCATACTTTCAGATAATACCCACTTGACCTGGCTTCAATGACTGGATGATCAAAGCTCAGTTAGAAGAAGAAAAAAAGAGGGGGGAAAAAAAAAGAGTAATCTGATACAATTTGATGAACTTGACATACACCTATGGATGTAGTAGCTCAAAAGACAGAACTAATCTTTACAGTGAGGATCATTCCCACACCCTCCACACCCAGGGTAGACAGGGATGGGCAACTTGGACATTGGCTACCCAAAATGCGGTGGTTACAAAGGCAAGAAGTGACTGGCTTATAAGCTTTCAAGAGGGAGTCTAGATCCAGAGGGTACGGAGGAAGGTAGAATATCCACTGAGTAGTATCCATTCTGTCTGGTCGGGGCTGATGAAAGGAGATGGGGATAGATTCCTTGTGGTACAATAGTGAATAATTGTTATCAGACTGAGAGGGTTGGAAATGTAAAGGTGGATGTTTTGTAGCAAAACTAACTTTGTAGTCCAGGAGCGGAGGTCCCTGGAACCATCAAGGGAGAAGAGCAGAGTGTGAGACCCTACCCAGATAAGCAGTGATGCCAGAGATGGAGGCAGAGATGATGACGTGGGGAGATGGAGCAGTTGGGGACTCGAGACCCAGAGAGGGAGAGGGGCTGTGTGCTGACAACCGGAGGGCAGGCTTGCAGAGTATATCCTTTGGTTGGTTGATGATGCATGGAGGGGATTTTAACCATGGCAATGAAATGATGTACGATAGGATGAATGTAAAGCTAAAGTTCTCCCATGTAAACCATAACATAATTCACAATAAACATATTTAAAAAAAAACAAAAACTGGAAGACAACTACCTGGCCAACTGATTGAAAGAGATCCGTATTTGAGACCATTCCAAAGAGAGGTGACCCGACAGAATGTGGAAATCAATGGACAATATCTTTGATATTTCATGTGAGTAAAGTTTTCCTGAAGGTAATAGAGAAACAGCTGCAAGCATACACTGACACAGAACTTCCAGAAGTTCAAGCCGGATTTAGAAGAGGACATGGAATGAGGGCTATCATTGCTGATATCCTATGGATCTTGGCTGAAAGCAGAGAATACCAGAAAGATGTTTACCTGTGCTTTATTGACTATACAAAGGCTTTTGATTGTGTGGATCATGATAAGTTATGGACAACATTGCGAAGTTTGAGTATTCTGGAACACCTAATTGTGTTCATGACGAATCTGGACATGGACAAGAGGCAGTTGTTTAAACAGAACATGGGAACACTGAATGTTTTAAAATTCAGAAAGGTGTGTGACAGGGTTGTATTCTTTCACCACACTTATTCAACCTGTATGCTGAGCAAATAATCTGAGATGCTGGGTTACATGAAGAAAAATGTGGCATCAGGAATGGAGGAAGACTCATTAACAACCTGCGATATGCAGATGACAACCTTGCTTGCTGAAAGTGAAGAGGACTTAAAATATTTACTGATGAAGATCAAAGACCATAGCCTTCAGTACGAATTGCATCTCAATGTAAAGAAAACAAAAATCCTCACCACTGGACCAAAAAACAACATTCTTATCAACGGAGAAAAGACTGATGTCAAGGACTTCATTCTTCTTGGATTAACTATCAACACTCATGGAAGCATCAATCAAGAAATCATAGGACGTATTGCATTAGGTAAATCTGCAGAAGATCTTTTAAAAGTGTTAAAGAGCAAAGATGTCAGCTTGAGGACTTAGGTGTGCCCGACCCAAGCCATGGTATTTTCAGTAACCTCATATGCATGCGAAAGCTGAACAGTGAATAAGGAAGACCGTAGAAGAATTGATGCTTTTGAGTTATGGTGTTGGAGAATACTGAAAGTGCCATGGGTTGCCAAAAGAACCAACAGATCTGTATTGGCAGAAGTGCAGCCAGAGTGCTCCTTGGAGACCAGGATGGCCAAACTTCGTCTCTCATACGTCAGACATGTGTCAGGAGGGACCAGTAGCTGGAGAAGG